ATACTGTGTGGCGTGATTTAAACAAAGTATTTGTTCTTTCTGATTGAGGAAGGCACAGGTGTTGATATTCTCTTTATTTGCCAACATACATGGCTTGCAGTGCCGTGTCTGTTACTAAGTTGTGACAGGCTAGGCTGTTGTAAATCAAGGTACTTTGCATAATTAGTGTGAAGACGTGAACAGATGAGCGTGAATTCTTAGAAGTTAATGATTGTCAATTATCTTTCCCTCTTTGTATGTATCTAGTCCAAGATTATCAGAATATCAAGTACCTCTACGTATAGTTTCTTAATTGGCTCAAGCACGCTTTATTGCCAGATGCCACCCCAGAACGTGGCTTTGCCTGCTGACCCGCCTTCATCAGCAGTCAGATCATCTTGCTGATGTTTGAAAGCATTGCTTTTTAATTCCTGGGCTAGAGTTTGTTTGGATCCGTTAGCTGATCTGACTTGAGACACGGCTTTGAGATCATAATGTGTATACAAAGACAGCAAGAAGGGCGAGACTGTCCCTTGCAGCACCGTGGGCTCTTACAGTGGCTTGAGATGATGTAGAAATCGCATCTTCTGTTCGAAAGTGCATGCTGGACAAATTCCTACTTCACCTACTTCAACTCCTCCTCCCCTTCTAAGGCAGCCTGGTTGTCTGCGGTTGTCTCGTTGGGTATGGTTGGAGTAGACCTAGTTTAAGTAGCTTGCAGCTCATGTCTTGTCCAAATCTCATTCAAGTCCAAGAATTTGGGGCTTCCTTAGAAGGGCTTCATGTAATTGTGTTTTCAAACACACCTAATGCTGATTTTTTTCAGCAGCAAGCTAGTGTAAAATTTAGTTGTGGTTATGTGGGAGGGTGGATCCAGAGCCACATTTCCCAGGAGAGCGTCCTGAAGCCCAGAGGGTTACACCGTTGTGCGGAGGTCATTCTTCGTTGCTTCTGTTTGAAACTGTGTTACTGTGGTGAAATGAAAAGGAGTAAAAAGTCAGTACCCTTGCCAGGGTGCTTGCTTTGGAGGCGGGAAGAGTCAAGAAATTTTGTTCCCAGGATGGTTTCTTTGTTTTTGTCAGTTGGCTGTTTAATTTCAAATGTAAGAAAATGCCTTTTTTTTTTTTTTCCTCTGACTTTATACACAGTTTAGCCTGTATTGTTTAAAAGCATGTCGTAAGAATTCTAATTATTCTCTTCACTATTTCTGAATAACGTCTTTCTTCAGACACAGAAGTCTTCTGTTTTTAACGTCAGCCTTTGAATGTAATGATTTATACACATTTGAAATGACATTGAAAATATTTCTGTGAAGAAGCTTTTCCAAAGATTTCTTCCATAGAAACCACTTCTTTGAACGAGGCAAGGAAAAATATTCTGCTGAAGGCTTTTTAATATTAAGATCGAAATGAACATCTTTATGGTCATGCATCTCATTACGAAATAATGATCATATAATTTGCCCTGCGCTTTTTCCTTTTATGTCAGGACTGTCTCCTGAAGGAAGTGTAGCACTGACATTCAGCTTTACTTGGCAGAAATTTCTTAGCAGCTTAATCTGAGAATTTTACATATTTTAAGGGGTGCACTGAAGCTGTAAATCTGTGAAAGATACTGAGAGTAACTCTAGGAGAGTAAAATTCCTGACCTTAAATCAAGACTTGAGGGGGAGAGAAATACCCAACCCAGAACAAACACGCGAGTACTTTCCTCCTCCAATTCCTCTTCCCCTTTTCCCCCCACCTCAGTTTACTTTAACAGTTCAAAAAATACTTTCACATAGTTCAAGACGATAAAAATGTTGTGTATTTTTCTTTGTGCTGCTCTGGTCCCGTAGCACGGGCTCATTACACTTATTTTTCTTTTCAGGTGATAAATGTATTTGGTCAGGTCTTCCTTTTGTCAAAGTTGTTAGCGTGAAGTTAAAATTTAAAGAGCTTGGCAATAACTTACAGTGTATCAAATAGTAATATGTTTCAGTAAATTGGAGTATCTTCCCCCACAAATTGCTTACAAGGAGTTTCCGTAATTGCTCTTTCTCAAATTCAGTTCTAAGTGTTCCTGTCTTTGAAAAGTGCTCAGGATAGGGGGCAAAAAATTAATAGCAAAATTGAGGTATGTAATCATGCTGTGTCTGTAATGCATAAGAGGTTTCAAAAATGTTTTGCAATCCAGACAAACCCGTCTTTGGCTGGAGAATTACTTAAATCTGCCTTGAGAGTAAAAGTTGAACATGAACAGTAGAGGGATTTTTGCATCTTGTTTCTGAGAGGAGCTGAATGAAAATCTACCTGTTGTGCCTTCAGATTGTGCATTCATAATATTTTTTTCTGATGACAGTTTCTGTTCTCACTCTGAGCAGAAGCAGGAAGATGCATCCTCTGATACAGTAAATATTTTAATAAAAGTCGGTTTGGAAGCTGCTTGTAGTCGCTGCAGAAGTCCTTGGGCATGCGTTCTCACAGTCATGTCAGCCTGTCCTTCAAATACTCTGGAGAAGCAAGGGTTTCTCTCAAACAGTCCTTTGCGGATAAGTTGCAAAGAATTTTTGTTCTCATGCAGGCTTTGTCTGTACATAAAATTGCTGCCATTTTCTTGTGTTTTACAGAGGCAGTAGCAATTCTGCTTGCCTGCAGCTGGTGCTTAAACAACTGTGGGCTTGTTTGCATACTAACAAATGAAATAAGCCAAATTTGTTTGTACCCACAGTCAAGAGTCTGGCAATTTTTTTGTACTTCTGATCTTGTGACATGGGAAGTATAAAAATACGAGCACTGTATAGCTTGCCACAGTGGATCATCTCTCACTTAGCTAGTCCAGGGTCCTGTTCACTGATGGGACAATAATGTTCCAGAATAAGATACAGAAGTTTGGATAGCTGGGAGATTCAGTTTTAGGTTAGGTTTTAAAGAACTAATAATTAGAAGTTGCTGAAATGTAAAGCATGATGTTCAGTGTTTCAGACTTCATAGCTTCACCTACACGGGCAACAACATCTGATAGTACCTGAGGAGGTGTCTTTTTGCTGTCATCAGCGGCTTTAATTTCTGTTTCTGTGTTTAAGACTGGATCAAAATACCTGTTCATGCATACAGTGGACTGTGATACAGTACAGCGTATAACATGAATTGGGAAGTTTTAGACAAACGGAATGAGGGATTTGTAACTCGAGTAGGCCACCTAAAATGGGGAAAAACTAAAACTGGAGTGGTTTGCACTGATTTTGTGCTGCCTATGAAAGTATCTTCAAATGTTATCTGTCCTTTTCTGTGGATGTTCGAATTGCACTTGGATTAGCTACAATGTAAACCTTTTGTGTTCATTCTGGCTTTCAGAGAAAGTAGAGCATGAGAATTGTAGTATTACTGAAAAGGTCTATTTGCCTTTTTACTTGGCTTAAGTAACTATGAAAATAGGAATTCTTGTTTATTTGAGTAGATCTTAAATTTAGGTCTGTTGCTTCTGTGTTTCTTTAAGAGACATTTGTTTCCTAGAGCCGAACAGCTCATAGTTGCATAAACATGACTATAAACAAGAAAACACATTCAGTGATATCAGCAGCGAAATTTCTTGCCTTCTATCTGTATTAAAACAAGCTCCCAAAATGTTGCCTAGAAGCAGAAATGATGTTGCTGTCTGTGTGGCTATTGTAGCTGAATTTTTTGCCTGGCTTGAAGATGCATATTGGACAACTAAATTAAGCTTTATTATATGAACAATTAATTTTGATTATGAAAATCTTGGCAAGGCTTGGTATTGTTTCATTTCTTTTTAATATAAATTATCAAATACTGTACAGTAGGCTTATCATTTTCACTAACTGTTCATTTTAGAAAAATTTAATGGTTTTAATACAGAAGTTATGAGAAAGGTAATGTGCATCATAAGAAAATAATCTAGATACTTCTCTGTGTATAGAGGGGGGGGAAAGGTTCCCGCTTTTATGATTTGCATTAAGTATAATTCATTTAGAGTTGTTGGGAGCTATGGTTTACTTTCTGACTGGAAACCCACTAGTATAAGTTCCGTTTGTTAATTTATCTTGCAGAAAGAAAATCTTTCTTAAAAAGTGAAACTCTGCTGGAGTTCAGCTTTTGTGATGCTATATATTTTTCCTTTATGGACTAAGTAAAATTCTAGAGAGTAATGCCAGATGCAAGGAAAAACTGGAGTACCCAAAGCTTAAATTGTAAGAGAAGATCTCCTGGTCAGGAGCTGTCTATCTCGGAGTGCTCACTAAAATTGCTTTATCTTTTCTGTCTGGAAGTTCCCTCGGGTTCTGCATTTCTGCTTATGTGTGTGCTTGTAATAATGACAGGGTGACCCAGTTGAGTCTTCATGATACTGGTAAGCAAAAGCATCACTGGGACACCGCAGCTAGCACGAACCTGGTGCTTTGTTAACCGAGGACACCGATGAGACCCTGCAGGTTTGCGAATGGAGGCAGAGTTCTTTGTGCCTTCCCACCTGCTCCCCTACAAGAATATCATGCTTTTCACTTTGATCTTGTAAGAGGTCTGGGATATGTCCGTATTATGTAGTTACACAGGGTGGAAGCAGTCTGATGGTGCTGGAGGTGCTGAAACTCATCTTTTGCAAACTCCTCTTGGGGTGTAGGAGCTACTGCAGTCCCTTCCCTTGTTAGCTTTCTACCTGGGCATCACCTGCCCCATGTTGCTTTACACTCTGCTTCTCTGGTGGGGGACAGAGTGTTGCTAGCTTGGTGAGAGGAAACTTGAACAGCAATTTTTGCTAGACGTGGCTAGAGATTAACAGAGCACTTGGTTAGAAGGGATAATTAATGGATTCTGGTCTTCTCTCAGGGCTATGTACTGTTAGCTGACAAAAATAAATAATTGGGATGTGGTTTGATATGAGATCTAAATATATGTGAAACAACAAGGTGAACTGTGTCCACTTAGTTTACATAATAAAAAAAAAAGCTAGGTCAACTCTTTAGCCTGCTAAATATGAGCACTTCAGAACACTGACCTTAAGGACAAATTCTGTTTCTTTTCCAGCTGCAGCCGACTTCGAAACATTCAGAGTATCCTGACGCAGAGCAGCAAATCTCAGCCTGATGGAATCCTTTGCTTTTTAGGTTAGTTTTACTACCCCCCCCCCCTTTTGTTCTCACTGTACTGATAAAGATACCATGAGTTTCAGAAAGATGAAGATCATCTCCTCATTCCTGCCCCAAGCCCTAGCCCTGTTTCTCAGGGCTGACTGGTACACTCCTTTCTCCCTCAATAATTCTTATTTACTGATTTCAGGCAAACTTGCTACAACAGCAATTATGATACCAACATTCTTCTAAGCCTTATGAAAATTAAGTGGCTGAAGGGAAAAGAGAATCTTTGTTAAAGTCCAAATTGAAGGAATGGTGGAGAGAGTTTAATCCCCATCTATTTGGAGTAAACATTCAGCTGTCTAGGCAGAGTTTGCTGGTGCTTGACATAAAAGCTCAAGGCTGCAGGCACACGTGTTGCAGCTGCCTTCCCCATGGAGGCAGGGAAGTGGAACGGGTTAGAAGGTGCTGAGGGTAAGTGAGTGGGGAAGAGCAGAGGAGCGCTGAGGTTGGGGATCATGATATACAGAGCTACGAGGGGTGGTGGTTGAGAACAGGCTCGACTTGTAAGAAAGTCAGGAGTGGGAGGTGGGGGGAATAATCATAAAACTGACAGAATTAATAAAACCTGAATTTAGAGGGAGGGAGGTCTTCTCTTGAGGGAAGTAATTCAAAATGCCTTTAAAGAGTTGCATGAGAAACCTGGGAAGCAGTTACGAGTTACACGGTGGCGTATAAACAGCATGTGGTTTCAGTGCTTTATTTCTTCTGGGGCCGGGAGAAAAGGGTGATACGAAACAAAGCTACACGTGCAGGTGTGCTGTCGGAAAGTAACAGGCTTTTGTACTGCTTTGATATCATTTCTGTATGTAACATTGACTCTTGTTTCTGATTATATAATCAGCATCAAGATACTAAAGGAAAATGTCAGCAATGATGATTGAAATTCCTTGGAGAATAGGACTAAGGAGTGATTATTTAAATAATGTATTACAGTTAAAGATGGAGACATCTAATGTAGCCCTAAAGAAGCTATGTGTGGTAGTGGGCTTGCATTAGGAAATCATGTTACAGCCTAGGTGTTTTGTTAGGTTGTTTTGTTTTAATAATGTAGCAAGAAAACTTGAAGCAGCTCATTTACTGAACTGTAAAAAGGTTGTAAATGTGTATGACCCAGTTCTCTTTTGGGCAGTGCTAACTGTATAACGTGACTCTTCTTATTGCACATTCTCTAGGGTAAGAGTTTAAGAAGCCTTTGGCTAAGTAGTGACTTTACAGCTAGAAGGTCTATGAGGTCAGTGTGTCAACCTTCCAATGAAACTTAATCATACAGGATAAAGTACTTGGTTTTTGCCTTTGCTAGTCTAATTTAATAAAATTTGTCAAGCTGTGGCATCTCACAGTTGATGCTCTAGTGTTTCTTGACCATTGTTAACCCTGCAGTAAGTCCCAAGCAAGGAATAGTCACCTAAAACACTGTACAGCTTTACAGAAAGCATTACAGGCAAAAGGAATTGCTTTGTGTAATCCGCAGTGTCATGTGGAGTATTTAAGTCCATGCATAAGACCATACCTCTTAATAAATAAGCATTTCTGTTATGGAAGTGTAGGAAGTGTGTTTTGTTATTAGACTTGGGCTTTGCCCTAATCTTTTTCAGCGCCCACAGTGGGACTGTTGTTTTCTAATCTGCCCTGGCTACTGTAGCCTGCAGAATTTCTCGCATAACTTCAGATTAAGCAGGCATGTCACGGTTATAAATACATTAAATCTGCCTTCAGATACAAGGTTCAGATGACAAAAAATATGTAGTCTTACATTTTGAGTCCTGTTGACATGTATGGAAAGCAGATACTCTTATAACTACGTTGTTTTACAGTCAATGCATGTTATATTTCACTTGGGTGACTTTAATGACCTAGAGTTAATGCATTTCCCTGACTCCAACTTTAATTTTACATACTGAGCTGTGAAATAAAAACAATATAAACTTTCATAGCTTCCCTTCAAGAAGGATAATATTTATACTGAAATTAAAAACAGCATTGTAAGATTCCAAAGATGACAACCAACCAATTATTGATACCATTATTTAAATGTGTTTACAGTTGATTTTTTTTTAAAAGAATCCTGTCATCTTATTTTAAAGTGATTGAATATATTCTCCTGCATTCTCCTGCATTCTTTGCCGAGGAGAAAAGACATCACAACTGGTAGGAAAAAGAAATTTGGAGGTTGATGTGTCAGATGTCTTTAAAAAACTGTGATGTCTCAGCTGGAGTGTGCTGCTGTTGAAGTTGCTAAGAAAACAGTACATCAAACTATTTAAACTATACCTTGAACTATGTTTTTTAACAGCAGTGTTTCTCGCATCTTACCTTTCAACAGAGATTTTCAGCTCACTCTTAAGTTGATCTGATTTCTGAGGATGTGTATTGAGTTTCCATAGTGTATGTCTATAAATCTGATTGTAGTTGTAGCTGTTCTGATTGTAGATCAAATTCTTTTGCAGTTCAGCATAGCGAGACTGTATTTTTACAGACCTTGATATTTAGTTTTTATCCTCCCTGAAGAGGATAGGAATATTTCAGAGGCGGGCCCGTAAATCTTTTAAGTTTATTTTACTGTGGTTTTTATATCCATCCTACACAGAGTGCTCGCTCTTAGGGTGTGGGAGAAACCTCACCAGCATTTAGTACCTTGAAATGATTGTTTATCCCATTCCCTTTCCCAGTGGAGACTCTTTTAATGATGATTCTTATTCTATTATAATGATTAACTGCTTCCCTTAGATGACAGTTCCACAGCTGCATGTTGGTTATCGACAGCTGCCTAAAGGTGGTCTGGCCTTTCTCCCCACCGTCACCTTCCTGCTGCCTCCCTGGTGTCCCTGCAGCTCACATGGCTGTTCAATGTGTTATGAAACAACACTTTTTGGTACTCAAGGGTGTGTCACAAATGCATGGCTGGGACAAAGAAAACAGGACTTTTTTTTTACCTGTAGGCCATGTTTGTGTCAGCCTAGCAGCTGTGATATTGCAGATGTGAGAGATGGCTGAGCTGGATACTTTTTGCAGCAGAAAAGGGGAGTCTCAGCCTGCCACTGTACTGCTGCTCTTCCCTTTCCTCTGTTTCCTCCCCATATGCATTTTGCATCAGTGCTGGTGGTTGGCTGATATCTTGCACTCGGCTCATCTTACTGAGTGGACAATTATTTTTTTTCCTCTGTACTTGGCCAGACTTGTTTTCTGCCAATTTGGCAAACTGAATCAGCTCCTTGAGAGGTCAGATAAGCTCAGACTGCAGGAGAAGAAGGAGAAGGAATGGCCTTTTGGGCAGCAGTGAGCTGTTAGACTGAGTCATTGCCTATCCACACCCTTGCCATGAGTTGGGAACAGGCTGAGAGTTACTAAACTCCCAGCTGAGCTGGAGACAGCCGTGGGGGTTTCCTAATTAACGGCTTTCCCCATTGTTCTGTTCAGGACTCCTGATACGCTTTCTGGAGATATCCTATCTTTGTCCTTGTTTCATTTCCTGTTTGTTTTCCGCTAACTGTATCTGTTCATTTAACTCCATGTGTTTCTGCAGAATAGTATAAAAGCCTGAATATGAAACCTCCTGTCTATACTGCATACTAAAAAATAAAAACAACAACCAAAACCCAGAACCACAGAAACCAAATGTTCTGCAGAGTTAATGGTTTTATGGTAAGCTAATGCCTTCCCTGCTACCCTGTCATTGCTCTGCAAGCAATAAATTCACCCATATCCTCTATTATAAGAGTTAAGCTTATCAGCTGCCCCCCTTGTTAACATCTTTTTGTCTTTGCTCCCCCCTCCTTCTGTCAATAACTGAAAAAGCAGGGTTTGGTAGTTAGCTTTGATTATCTTCTCTGCTTCAAGCCTGGAGAAGGGGTGGTGCACCCATATAAACCCTCAGACTCTTGAAGTGATGGCAACATCTTAAATTTTTTGGTGTTTTTATGTGGACAGTTCCTCATTTTTCTTCTGATCTTCCAGACTTTATAATCTGTGCCTTTTCCTGCTTCACTACGTGTTATTCTGTTAGCCTTCCACTGAGCACACTGCCTTGGCTTTTTAGGCTTTGGAGACCCTACCAATGAGCCTGATAGGAGAAGGTGCAAGTGCCATGGCTGCTTTCATCCTCATGGTTTGGTCTGTAGTTGAGGGTGCCTCCTCAGATTAACATTTGATATGATAGGTGATGTTGGCTTGTGAAACGTAAGTTGCAGAACAACTGACAGCTTGCTGCTGCTGAAAGGGACTATCCTGACTTCTGCTTTGTGCCAGATTCTTGCTCTTCTGATTGCCTGCAAAAGTTGCCTTAGTTAGGCAACTAATCAGTAAAACAGATTATCTTCAGGACATTGTGTGTGCTAGCTTTCTAAGGCTATCACTGATTTCAAGGAGACTGATTACGTTTAAATGACAGTTCTCTAGAACAATGGGACAGTTGCTTCATGGAAGAAGGGAGTCTCCACACTTGGTTGTAACTAAAATCCCACCTGGAGACGGGGGCTTTGGCACAGATACTGGTGTGTTGAGTCCCACTGAATTCTGATTGCATTGGTACAACTGCTTTCATGGGGCTGGAAACGTAAATAAAATAAAAAGAGACAGTGTGTTCTCCCTCTCCCCACTCTTCTGCACCCTCTCTCTCTCGGAGTTCCCAGATCCAGGGCAGTCTGGTTATGCAGAAAATTATTGTCACAGCAAAGATGGAACAGTGCAGCAGGGGGGAGAAATGAATGACTGGGTCTGAGTACTCTTTACCGGAGTCTTATCATGACCTGGGTTGCAGATGGACTGCTAAGGCTCTTGGTGCTCCCTTTGTCAAGGGGTGCCTCCTAACACACAAAATTGTGACCTGTTTTAAAAAGAGCATGCTCCAGAGATGTGTATCTGTGAATGGGAGGTCAATGCTCAAAGCTAGATAGCAGCGGAATGAGGATTCAGAGATTGTGGCAGGAAGGATTTTTGAGGGCTGAGAAGGCTGGGGCCAGTGTGATGCAGCTTCCCCCTTTCCCAACACAGTTCAAGGAATGCAGTGCTGTAGTGTGTTATCGTCATGAAGCCATGAGCGGGGAGCAGTTTTACAGAGGTTCACAGCTTCAGCACAGTTTAAAGTGATTGAATTTGTCTTTTGTGTAGCCTTATACCAAATACCTGATACCTTGGAAGATACATGAGCTATCCAAGGGCCAGTTACTTAACAAACAAGGGAGTTTATGAAGATGTGGGATTCGGTAGCTGGATGCAGACACGGCATTAGGTTAGCGCTTTAAAGCTGAATCGTAGCATAAAAAAAGGTACATAATGAGGAGAACCTGGAGTTTGTTCCGATTTTTGGTACGTTCAGCTGACTCTTGAGTAGTTTGGTTTCCGACACAAGTCTTGAAACCCAGACATCCAGGCTGTGTTGTTACATTATCAGTGTACTGATCTCTCCTTTGGACAGAAGTAATAAATCTTGGTTTGTTGTCAGCCATCCAACTGTATCCTAATATAACTTGATAGGAAAACTTGACATTGGTGTTTATGAGAAATTTTGTAGCAGTCGAACTGGTGACCTCTGCCAAGCGTGGGTGTCAACGATGCTACTTCATGCATAGTTTTACTTGTGGAGAAAACTTGATTTATTACAGTAGAATTAGGAATTATGACTGTGACTGTTTTCCGGAGAGATGAAAATACTTCCTGAGTCTGTGTCCTGTTTCCTTTCTTCTTGTATTTATCTTCTATGTCTTCATGCTCCAGATCTTCAGTTGCTTTAGTTTTATTTTCCCGAGGACCAGTAAAGGCTTTCCTTGGAAGGTGTGCGTAGACCATATGTTTTGTCAGAACATCTTTTTGTGATATGTTACAAGTGCACACTGGCTTTCTGGTGACTCAGGGTTTGCACTGTAATAATGATAAGATAATGTTTAATCATGCATTCTAAAGCAGGAGATTCAGGTCACAGGATTAGTTTGTTAGGAAGCTTCAATCAAGAACATAGTAATTAAAATGCATACTGCATACAGACAGATGTTTGCTTGAAATACTAGATAAAATTGAACTTTTGTTGATGCAGAACGCTGCAGAAAACCAGACTGATGTCATTTTTTTTAAGCAATGCCTGTGGATTTCGGTCAAGAGTGGAAAGTCAACATGTGGCAATGGACTTGCAAAAACTCCTTTTTCCTTATCCTGTTTTCCCAGTATGTTCAACGGGCATAAGTGCCCACCAACTGTATGAGGGAGTTGGGTTAATACTCCTGTTTTAAACTTTTCTTATTAGGGAAGAAAAAAAACTTTTCAGTTGTACAGTGCTAGGGCACGTAATGCATCACGTATGGTTTTGCTTTTGCAGGAATAGATAGTCGATACAATGAAGGTTGCAGGGAACTGGCAAACTATCTGCTTTTTGGCTTGTATAACCAGAACAACAATGACTTTGAAAGAACTGGGTTTGCTGAAGAAGTTCTTGACGGTGAGTAGAATACTCAACATTTTTACCTGTTCTTCAGTCTTTCTGGAGGGAGGGTGAGCCAGAAAAAAGGAGCATACCTCAAAAAGTCAGTAAATCTCTAATTGTGTGTACACACCTGAAAAACTGGTGTTAAAAATGCTGCTGGAGAACTCTTTGTTTTTAAATGTCCCACCTCCATGCATTCCCCCAAGTGTTCTAAACCTAGACAAATCAGCCTGTTATGAGAAGTCCTAGTTCAATAGTGGTAGGTGGGTACATATGTTATCAGTTACTGTGTGATCACACCTCTGGAGTTCTAAAATACTTGAGCTCTTTTTTTACTTTGACATATTAATGCACTTGTGTAATATTTGAAAGGTGGCCCGTGGAGTTCTAAAATACTTGAGCTCTTTTTTGCTTTGACATATTAACGCACTTGTGTAATATTTGAAAGGTGGCCCATCACCATGATCATAGATTATTATTCCATCATTTGCATGAAACTTTGAATATCTACCCCATAGACTGTAGTGCTGGTTTTTTGTTTGAGCAACCTTCTGATGTAGTATCAGGCAAGAGCAGCTGTAGTTTACAGTTTTGTAAGTGCTCTGTAAGGACTCATCAGTGACACTCTTGGCATTTCAAAGGATAGGCTGATGCAAGCTCTGTGCAAGACTTCAGAATAAACCCACAATTGTTCTAAACAGTAAGAAGTGCTATTGTACTTGGAACTGTAGACGGCTGCCAACTGTTTCTTTTTTAAAGAAGTGGGGAATGAGTGTGTGTTCAGATAGTTAAACAATTTTCTCTTAACGAAGTACCTTACAGGAAAAGTGTTTTCGGTTCCGTTCCTGTGAGGGTTTTTTTGTGCACGTATAATTCTTCTGTATGTGGAGTCTTGGTGCTGGAATAATATCTGTTCTGCTTGTTGCAGATATAATCATATTAGTAAAACCTGACAGTGTCCATCTGTACTGTAACCCTGTGAATTATAATCATCTTTTGCCGTATGTGGCATACTGGAGGAACTTGCATTTTCACTGTCTAACTGAAAATGAGGTAAGTGGAAAATGAATGCAGATGAGAATTGCTAATGAACTTGCTAATGAACGGATATTCAAAGTGGAACTACTTTATTATGTATTTTCATTTTAACTTTCAGCTCTTCCTTTCAAGAGTTATTAACCCCATGTGAGCAATGTGAGTTTCATCTTGCATTTAAAAGTCAAGGTATTCTTAGAAAAGCTATGTTTATCATAGTGAAATACTGGTAGAGGAGTGAAAAATGAAAGTGCACTTTGTCTAGGTGTAGAAGAACCACCTTTTTATTCCAGATGAGACTGGAAATGCTTCTTCCTAAATGCCATCATAGGAAGCTTCCTTCCTTGTTCAATTCTGTGTAGTTCCTTTTCTGAATTAGAGTTATATGGAAATCTGAAGGGAGCTGGTTAGGAGCCTAGGATGTCAACAGATGAAGCTGGTGGAAGAATGAATGAGGAGGAGAATGAGAATCAGGGAGACAAACCTTTTGTTCCCTTGAGTTTCCAGCTTGAAAGCGGTGGGGCTTACGACTGATTGTGCTTTTATGTGGCTGGCTGATAGTTTGGATCACAGAATTATGAATTAATTCAGGTTAGAAAGGACCTCTGGAGATCGTCTTGTCCAACCTCCTGGTTGGTGATGAGATCCGATCAGGTTACTCGAGTTTTTTTGCAGTTGGATGTTGAAAGTGTCCAAGGATGATGACTGCAGAACTTCTCTTGGCTGTCTGCTCCATTACCTGACTGTCCTAATAGTGAAGAAGTGTTTGCTTTTATCCAATCTGAACTTTTTTTGTTTTAAATCTTGCACTTTGTCATGCATCCTGCTACTGCAGACCACTGCAAAGAGCCTGGCTTCACCATCTCGATAAAGTTTTTGTGGGTGTTGGAGGGCAGCTATGAGGTCCAGCCATTGCCTCCTCTAGACTGAACGAGCCTGGGTCTCTCCTTGTAGGACAAGTGCTCTGACCCACTGATCATCGCGGTGGCCCTCCACTGAGCTTCCTCCAGCTTGTCAATGTCTTTCTTGTACGTGGGTCTCAAAACTGGATGCGGCATTCTAGATACAATCCCCAGAGTGCTGCATAGAGGGGGTTAATTACTGCTAGTTAACACGTGAGCAGCTGAGCTGCAGGTTAAAGCGTGCCGTAGCAAAATCTAAAGCCTGGCTTCATGAGGTTTTTCTGGTGCCAGAATCACTACTGAAAGGGCAAAGCTTGAAGCATACCCGACGGTGGTGAAACGTAAGCATTTTGGAATCAAGACTGGAGTAGTTCTTAACATGCTATTGCTAGCACAACTGCAATCTCTGCTGTTGAATTTTAAGCTGTATCTGCTTGTGGGCTTTTATATGGTTTATCGTAGCAGGTAGTAACCTTAATCCCACAGTACTGGCTTGAAATAATGGTGTAACTAGAAAGGTAAACCATATGCCCTGCTATTTGTGGAAATGAGTGGAAAGTTTGATTTCTGAAGCTGAAAATACACCGTTTAATTCATTGCTGTTTCATGTGAATGAGTTGAGCGATGCACTTCAGTCACGTTTCGAATGTGTAACAACTGCCAGTTTCCTAGATTACATCTGAAAGAGAAACAAAAAAACATTGCTGTGTCAGGCTCAAAGTGCATCCTGTTTACAGGAGGATTGCCTGTAGAGGCTTTTAAGCAATTTTTTTTTTTCAGTGACAGAAATAGCTTTTGCTTTTATAAAAATGAAACCAAAAAAGCTCAAGAGTTTTAGAGATGATGAAAGCGATGCCATACCTGGCTCTGTGCAACTCTTGATGAATCTGGCAAAACCTTTAGCCTCTTCTTCCTTCCTTCCTCCTACTTGCCTTTAACTAGACCATAGGAATTTAAGTGAATATCCTAGTTATAAGAAGAAAAAAACATATTATTGAAGAATGTCTATTTTCAAAGTGGCCAAATAAGAGAAAGTACTGAAATCTGATGCATACTGCATAAGCTTTCTGGGTGTCATGACCGTACCGTGTATGGAATGAGCTGTATTTCTACTTGCAGTAGCTGATAGTGAGCAAGCCTTTAGCACCCTGCCAAAACCCAAGTTCTCATTCTAATAGCATTTTAAGTCTTGAGAAACTGGCAGTTGTTTGTGGCTTGGCTTTGAAGTGAAACTTTGATCTGGCTTCCTGGGATTGAAGAAAGAACACATCATGGAGGAACTTGGGCTGCATCTTAAATTCAGGCTTGTCTTAAAAGAACTTGTTCTTAAAATAAATTTGTTGGGTGTACCCTGAAGCTCACAAGAGCTATACACAAAAAGTTCATAATCATGTAATTTACCTTGATATTAAGTTCAGAGCACTGTACATGAAAAATAAATAGACAAAACACCATGGCCTTCTGATCCTGCTCCAGAAAGCAAGTGACTCTTGAAGTACCCAGCGGGGCTAGGCCTCTTGGTTTCAGACTTGCTGCTCAACTGTACCTTTTCAGATAAAAATCAGAGACCATTTTTAGGTTTGTGTTCTGTTATATAAATGATTTTTGTGTCACGTGTCTCTTCAGTCTAGTTCTTATGTTTTTCTGAGCTGTAAGTACGATGTTTGTTCTTCACTTCTGGTCTTCAGTCTGCTGAAGTTTTCAGACAACTTCAGTCTGCTGCTAGTGTGAAACAGCAAGGGAGTGCTGCGTGGTGGTGTCTCCTCTTCTTTCCTCCTCCTTTTCCCACATATATCTCTCCCTCAGACAGCAACTAGTTCTCACTGCTTGTTCTGTGACCTGAGGCGTATCTTGTCAGCTGGCTTTCCCAGTTTAGCGTTGTTAAGATGGTATTTTATTTTTTCCCCTCAATGTCAAGTTTTTTGTGGCACATAGTTAATATTCTCAAAATATCTTTTATTGTTCTAAAGTTGTCAAGAATCTAGTAGATGATGTTGAAAGACTTCACTGAAAGCTGAAAATAAAGTGTGTAAATATGCCTTCATATAACCTTATTAAAAACCTTGCTCTGAAGTTGGATTTTTGAAGAACAGTTTCCATTGGCTTGAATGGTTCGCTGCAATGCTGGAGGTTCCAAAATATAGAGACTAAGGAGGTTCTTTAGATTCTGGAAGCTGTGCATAATGTTTTAGTGGATTACATGACACTTGCTATGGAGTTAAAACAGTACAATACATATTCTTTCATGCAAGGCTAACAATCAAATTAGGCATGCCTAATTGATTTTTATTTTAAATGACTTCTTTCAGTATGAAGATGAAGAAGCTGCAGAGGAATTCAAAATTTCCAGCTTTGTAGACATGGTTCGAGATTGCAGTCGCATTGGTATTCCATACAGCTGCCAAGGTAGGTTAGCTTGTTTTATGCTCATGGGGTAAGTATTTTGTAGCATGCGAGTTGGGCAGTTCAGAGAATAAAGATTTCCTTACCTTTGGTAAGAAATAAGGATTAATATGTCAGTATTTCCTTTTAGCCTCTTTTTACTTAAGAGTTGGGTTTCTTTCTGAAACATGTAAGCCATTAGACTTCATCTGAAGAGTGAATGCTCACAGCGTGAGGCAGAGAAATAATTTGCATTCAGAGAAGTGTGCTTCTGCTGCTGCAGAAGTTCTCTGTTCAGATGGGAGCTCCAAATAAATACTGCTTTATGTCAGGGAAGAATAAACATTTCGTTATGCAAGTTTCCTTTTTTAGTGGTGCAAAAACTGAAGTGCATGACTTCCTGCTATGATCTGTAGCCAGCCTTGCAGCCTGAGGAGTCTAATCTTACATGGTTTAGTAAAGTGTGTTCGCAGTATCCCCAGCAGTGAGTAATGCAAAAGCAATGCAGTGCGTGGTCTTCACTGTGCGTGTGGGGCTTCTCATCCAGTGCAGTAGGTGAGAGGCAAACGAAAAAAAATCAATTGCTTCCTATTTTTGAACCGTATAAGTTCAAGCCAAGTTCTGTTTTTATTTTTTTATTCATTATTTTTTTATTCATAATTCTTCATTGCTTCTCTTGAGGAATGGATGATGTGCTCTGACTGCCTGGAAAATCATTAATGGGTCAGGGCATGGGGGAGGATGGTGGTTCTTTGTTAGGAAGTACCTAAAGGTCGGTGAAGTGGATAGAGAACTGGCTGAATGGCTGAATGGCTCTGTGCAGCCTGCTCTGGGTGACCCTGCTTTGTCAGGAGGGTTGGACTAGATGACCCACAGAGGTCTCTTCCAACCCCTAATATTCTGTGATTCTGTGATTCTGTGATTCTGTAAAGAAGGTGTGTAGCTTAAGGATAATAATCACGCTTCACTCCAGATGGCTTACAGATTCACTGATGAGTACAAGGCTGAATAGTTTTCCTCTCCCCTTACTTAAAATTCTGATTAACATGGGGATGTTGATGGCAATATTTTACTTAAGGCCAAATATTTGAAGAAATTGGAGTAAGCAAAGCTCCCTGTTTATTATCTTGAATGTTAATGGACACAGTTTTGCTGATGGTCTTGGAATGAAATCTGCAAGGAGACGTAATATCCTTTACTAGGCTGATAGCTGGAAAAAAGCGACAAAATCTGGGGTGTAGCGAAAGGAGTTTCTAAAAGCTACCGTCTTCACCAAAAACATTTTTTAATTGCAGTTTTTAAGTTGTACAAAGACAGGATAATTGAGATCCTTTGTTAGAATCTCGGAACGGCTCTAAGATTTCTCAGAACGTTAAACTGCCAGTATTTATGAGAGAATGTTTCTGTGAAATGTTTATTTTGCAGGTCATCTACAGATATTTGATATGTTCATTGTTGAAAAGTGGCCAATAGTGCAGGCTTTTGCACTGGAAGGAATTGGGGGCGATGGCTTCTTTACAATGAAATATGAAGTGAGTAGTTATGTTTTTGATTTTCTTCCATTTCCATTCTGAAGCAGAAATTGAATCATGGAGTTATTGCAGTTGGAAAGTACCTTCTGAGATGATCTAGTCCTGACTCACCGCTCAAGTTAATTTTTAAGGTGGATGAAGTTTTTCAGGATCTTAAGAAGCTGAGTTTTGAATGTGCAAGGATGGAGACATAGTCTTGCTGAGAGACTTGTTACGAGCTACACAGCACACTGTCCTGGATAAACCATGATTGTTTGGTCCCCACCAGCCTCCCTGTTGTGATTTAGAACTTTTTTCCTTATCTTTTAGAGCTTCTTCTGATAATTTAAAATTCTGCTAGAGGGGTATAGACCTTCAAGAGCAGTGCAAGGGAAGCTGGTTAGTGACAAACGGCTTGAAATGAACTGAGAAAGTCAGAAGTGACTGTATTCTTGGGTCAGTGGTTTTGATACAAGAGATGCATCTACTTTTCTCACCACGATTGTGTATTCTTGGGTCTTAGCCTGCCGAATAGGGCAACAGTAAAGACTTTGGATGATGCTTCTAGTTTCAGTAATCATTTGCTGTTCCACTTCGAGCAACTCGTGTCATGTGATTTGCCTATTCATTAAACATACTCTTAACAGCATCTTCAGAGGACAGCTTTGTATTTATGGACTTGTTTGAAGCTTCTTTTCTTTAATTTTCTTGGACCTCTGCCACAGAAATGCAGATGTCCTATTTTTCTTGTCAATTCTCCATTTTTACAGCCAGAATGTTCTTTGTCTGACTTCTGACAACTGGAAAAAAACCCAAGGAATTAGTAGTACCATTGTTAGTGTCTCATCACAAGTAGTACTGTACACGCTTGCTCAGAAACCTGTTATGTGAGTTCAAGTGTGCCTTTGTCTGAGCACTGTACTCTTTCCACTCATACCTTTCTTCATGCCTTTTTTCTTTCCATCTTCCTTCCATCACTGGTACTGTAATCATCTTGTTTTCTGAACCTGTCAAAATCTTTAAATCCAAAGTGCAAATAGATGAGCATCCTTGTGGAGGTCTGCCTAGATATCAATAGCCCTTCCTGATGTCTGAAATTAGTGAACGAAACGTTGACTGTGGATTCAGGAGTTGTTTGGTCTTTAATTACCCTTGCCAGTTCATTTCACGAATGTGTAAAGGCTTTGAGAAAATGCGTAGGCACAGTGTAGCAATGGCTTTATAAAGACAGAGCCTCTCCTGTTTCATGGTGGGAGTTGGTGCTGTCCTTTCGGCACTCTTGCAGACTTAAAAAGCAGCAAATTCTCAGTATCTGTGTTTCAGAGCAAGCACGTTAGCTCTGGCAGTTCAGCCAGGTCCAGCTCGAGTTCTTGCTTTCTTCCCCCTTCAAGTCATGAGGGGATTTCAAGTGGGAAGTGGCATTCTTGACTATTTACGTAACTGTGCGTGGTTGTCTGTTGGGCAGCTGCTGTATGTCACAGGCAGGGAGGAAAAACCAGTCTATGGGAGGAAGTACATTTGGGATCACTGTAAATGAGCTGTAAATGAATACGTCTGCCGTTACGAAAAGAGAGTGTTCTTGGTGCATTTTTAGCTCCTCAAGCTGCCTTTGCTTCTGCTGTGCTTTCTGTGCTGTTAGATTTGAAGATAATGTAATGATGATAATTTTTTTTCCATGTTTTAATGGAAAGTTGCTCTATTGTTCTTATTACAGAAGTCACAGTAGCTCGAGATTCTGTAACCGAGAGAATTTACTGTACTGATAGGTTTATGGAAGTGATGTCTGGGAAATCATTATTACTGTATCTAATAATACGAGTAACTGGAATAACTGTGAAGCAGTGGTTTAAGAAAATTCCAGTCAGTGTGGCGTTTTAAATGAAGTGGATGGTGGGGAACCCTGTAATTGCGGAAATTATTCAGATACAAGTGTCCCTTAGGAATATATTTTTTAATAGTGTTCTCATATGCGTCACCTTACTACTTGGAAGAAGGTAGTGCTAATTATGAAGTTTAATTAGCTTTACCTAAATTACACTTAGAGCAAGAATCGGCTGGTGTGTCACATGAGTAACCTTGCAATCTGCTGCTTCTCTGTCTTGTCTCAGAAAACTGATCATAGAATCATAGAATGGTTTGGGTTGGAAGGGACCTTAAAGATCATCTGGTTCCAACCCTCCTGCCATGAGCAGGGA